GGGTAATCAACTGCTCTATGAGAGGATTCAAGACCACAGGAGAGTATTCACATCTGGTACTGCAACTTGATCAAAACTTCATGGTTATTAGGAGGTCTTTGGCTCTAACAAGGGACTTTACAACCATTTCTTAGCTAAGTTGACATGGTATAAAATAGCTTTCTAAATATGTACGTTAATACCATAAAAATGTTCCTTTTAATCTAACCAGAGAAACCTGTTTGCAATAAATGGTGGTTAGTGAAGAAACTCTCTGCTTATCATGTAGCAAATAAGTGATGTCTGAGTGGTTAACCCTAAGCAGGACAGTTATACTACTTCCCTCCAAGGCTCAGGAATGTTCATAGCACAGTAGGTAGAAAGAATGAAGGACCAGGAGACAGAGAGAAGGGCACGGAATATACAGTCATTGGTGTCAGGATCTCAAGCCACTGGAGCTGTTTTTACTGGGCCTTCACAAGAATTGATTGATAATTCAACCATGAATCAATCAGGGGGGAGTTTTTGGAACCTTACTTCTCCTAGCTCAACTATCGGCTATGAGTTGATTCTAAGGAAGGGGCAATCATAATCTTCAGTTGCTTACCCATTGATTAGTCCATGGATTCCAAACTCATGGTCACAAGACAACCCTGGTTAAATTCAGTTGTTCACAAACCTAAACAAGGATATGAATATAAGAAAGGGACTTGAAGGGAAATAGGACTGACAGCTATGAGTGAATGTAGGAAAGGCTATATATATATGATATAAAGTGAGAGGAACACATGCACAGTATACATAACACTGTCAAAGAAAATATTTAATAAAAATTATAATCTAAAAAATTTTCCTCCTGTTCAGCCAATCTCACCTTTGTTCTCATTGCTCCGTTCTAGTTTTTACTTTTTCCCATAATGTTCACCATCTGCTAATACGTTATTTGCTTCATACTGTATCCCTTATCTAGATTCTTTGTTACTAACCCTGGAAGAATTTTCTATTTTATTCACTGATAAAGCCTTCTCTGTACATAAACTATAGCTTTTTTACTCCTTAAACATGTTGTTTGTGAATTAATATTTAAATCTAATATTTAAATATTTCAATTGGAATATGTATTACTCTAGAAAGGAATTACTGAAAAAAAGTGTTTGATTCCCAGCCTTCTTAAGAATGTTACAGCCAGACTTGTTGATACAGGCCATTAATCCCAGCACTTGGAAGTCAGGGGCAGATGGATCTCTGTGAGTTCAAGGCCAGCCTGGTCCACAAACCAAGTTCCAGAATAGCCACACAGAGGATCTCTATCTCAATCCCCATGAAAAAAGGAATTGATATAAGCAAATTAGATCAAAAAAGTTTTTATAAATAAACCTAACATAAGCAAAACAAGAAATAACCATTAATGAAAACAGTAACAAAGTCTCACAATTTTATAAAGTGTAGCTATGTTAGTTATTAGTTTAGAGTAATTTAAACATTTTTTTAGATTAGAAGAATCTTTCTTTTTAATCTTCAGTTATTATAAAAAAGTTAAATCATAATACAATAACTTATGGAATTTCTTAGGAAATCATGCTAAATGTTATGTTTGTTGCCTCTTAGTAAAAGTTATAAAAGGATAACAAATCAATTGAAGTAAAAAATATTAACTTATATGTTAACAGAACTCCACTGATGTTAAACCAACCAAAAGCAGTACTCAGATGACTGGTACAGCCCATCAGGAGGGTGGTGGACACCGGCTGTCTAGTGTAACTCTACTCAGATGACAGATACTGTCCAGCAGGAGGGTGGTGGACACCGGCTGTCTAGTGTAACTCTACTCAGATGACTGGTACCATCCAGCAGGAGGGTGGTGGACACCGACTGTCTAGTGTAACTCTACTCAGATGACAGATACTGTCCAGCATGAGGGTGGTGAACACTGGCTATTTAGTATAACTCTACCCACATGAAGTGGTACAATCCAGCAGGAGGGTGGTGGGCAGCTGCTGTATAGTATAACTGGACATGGGCTTCATTTGTTCCTGTTAAATACTTAGTGCTGAAAAAAATGCTGTGTTAAATGGGATTAAACACATCTACAGTAACAGGCATATTGTGAAAATGTACCCATAACCCGTTTGTGGGCCAACTGCAAAAATGAGTCATACAAAACACATTTTCTTATATCTGAATTTCAGTATTCTACGCATTTGAAGATTTCATTTCCTGTTCTCCTGAAAGGAGAAACATTTGTTTTATGGTATCATAATTTCAAAGTTTTGAGAAATCCTTAAATTTTCTCTGTATTCCTTTCCATTTTGTGCAAATTAACAAACAGTATTGCTTTAAAGCTTGGCTGATCCTCTGCCTGTAGAGACTCAGATAAGGAGTATGAACTACATTGGTTCAGTCTGTGTTGGATTGGAAAATTTCAAATTTTTTTAAATATAGTCTTTCTCTTTACTTTCTATTGCAACACAGAACTCAGTTTTTCATAGTTTGAGGAATAAAATGATTCACCAGAATTACTTAAGATGAAACTCAAAAACTAAGACTATTCTACTCCATTTTTAAGTGTATATCTTTTAATCGTGGGCATATATAAGCCACCTGTTTACTGATTTTATTGTTTAAATCTGCCTAGTTTCTATACTTATATGACCTTGAATCCCGTTAGTCTTTGCATTCTCTGAATTTGAAAGTGTTGGTATTATTTTGGGGTATCACAGTTGAGCAAAATATACAAATTATGAAAGTATAAATTGTAATTTGATGGCTCACAGGACCTTTTTTGTTTTCCTTTGAACCATCTGTTGTTATTGTTCTGGCTTTATGAATATCATCTACTATAGATTAGAGTGATGATGTGAAAGTAACAGACAAGCAAGATGTGAATTATAAATGAATTCACTGTGATAACAAGTGCAGTCGTTAGAATCTTGCTGTTGAGTCAGTATTACATATGGCAAGTTTGGTATCAGGAGCTAGTTGGTTATCAAAAGTGTGACTTAAGGCTCTCTTGCCAGTGTATGATTTATGAGAATAGAAGAACTCTTTTCTTGTCTTTGGGGCCCTATTACATGATAATGGCTTGTTTCCTTTGACAGTGTAATTAATGTCTACTGTCTTTATCTCTTCATAGACTTGTTCTAAAGGTATTTCTGCCACAGCATAAAATAATGCTGTTTGAAAATTAGGTCCAGAATATTCTATTCTTAAACTGCCTCTGTGCATATTGTAGACTGTTAGTAAGTTCACATTGAACATATAAATGTGTAAGTTACCCTTTTCTTTTTATGTTTGTTAGACTTATTCATTATATAAATAGTGAGTCACATTTTATGTTTGACAAGCGGTAAATCAATGACTATTAATTCATACTCTGCATTATATTGCACTACCTAATGGAGTATTCTCCTTGTTCTCTATATAAAAGTGACCTAAGATGTCCACTTAATGTGCTATGTCTTCATCAATATTTAAGCATTTTCATGTGCAATATCTCCTAGAGAACCTGGCAGAAAGCACACAGAATTTATACTGATTTATTCCTGCAACTAGAACCTTCTGTAGTTTGAAAGAATGATAAATCACTTGTGATCAGTGGCAAAAAGTGGAAAATCACTGCTAAAGCTGCGTTGTGATTTCAGAAACGTCATTACCTAAACCTAACTAACATATTTAACCCTTATGTAATTTTATGAGTTTTATTTGTTTTATCTAAAAGCAAGAAGTTTTATTTTTAAAAATTTAGATAAAATTTTTGGGGAAAAAAGAGTTAAAATATAAGGTAAAGCTAAGACATAAAATTACTATTGACTAGCTCTTAATTACGTAGTCTCAGGGCTGGGTGTCAACTTTGCATGATCTAATTGCTATTAAAATAGTTTTCTTGACACAATTACATCTTTGAGTTTTTTGTCTTTTGTTATAAGTGGTGATTCTGTGTTGATATTGAATTTATAGTCTAGTCATAACAAGTAAAATATTCTCAATCATTAGTAATGATACATTGCACCTAAGAATTATTTTTTTAAAAATCAAAGCTGAGAATTGAACTTTGCTCCTCCTGTGTATTAGGTCAGAGCACTGCATTACAGGATTCTCCCAACCTAAGAGCTAAATTCTTATAATGTCCAACTTTACAAGCACACCGCTGGAAACAGTGTATATATGCAAATGTATGTACTCATACATGATTGTATGTATGTATATATGTATGTATGTGTGTGTGTATAATTTCATGAAAATGGATGATGGAAGACTTTGAGTGAACATGATACATTCATTAGAATGTATTCACCCCATTAGAAGTGAGCTTATCGTGCCATTCTCAGTTTGTGTTCTAATTAACTCAAGTCCAGATATGAGTTAAAATCAACAAATGAAATGGAACTAGACAAACATTCCTAAGAGCTGACTACAGCTTTTTAGCATGGGCTCTTCAGCAGAGACCAGCACTTTTAAATGTGTATGCTTAATATTACCATGGTTAATATGTAAAATTCATTACTCACATGTTTGTTATTCATTTTTTTCCAACCCTTCTCATCCACAGGCTTTGCAGTTTCCTGAATTGCAAACTACCCTTACTCTTCTGTTTTGGAAAGATATATAACCTTACCTTTACTGAGGTTTATTGCTCTACAGTGTTTAACTTTCTGACATTTGCATATTTATAATTGTTGTAGTGTAAGACACCACCATATCAATTTTGTTTTCAAATTTTAATTCATTTTATTGAAGCAGGGTCTCAAGAATCCTTGGTTGGTCTTCAAACTGTTTATCTTTGGATGACCTTGAACTTTTGATATTTGTGGTTTTGCACCCAGCACACCTGGCTTATGTTGTGCTGGGTATCAAACTCGAGGCTTTGTGCATTGAGGCATGCATGCTATCAACTGATGTATAGCTACCATATAAATTTGAAAGACGCAAACCATGGCTTAAGCAGAAAGACTCAGCAAAGTACATGCTTGATTGTATAAAGCATCCATGTATTTACTGTTTTCCACTTCTCTTTGATGCAGAGGTACCTTTCTGTTGACACCATCGAAGCTGGCATCCATCCCGTATATTTCTGCAGCACTCACTACATTGAAATGCTACTGAAGGCTGAGGTCCCACTCGTGTTCTCAGCTTTCCACATGTCTGGTTTTGCTCCATCACAGGTAACTGCTGGGGAGTTCTAGTTCTTCAATGCCCAGATCTCCAACTTTATAAAGAAAATTCTTTGCTCTGAAATATGATATAATATGCTTATATAATAAATGTAATATATAAGTAATATAATTAGATTATATTTATTTACATACATTATTTATTACTAATTTTCTTTTCTCCTATTTTTAATTAATATGCTATATTTTTGTTTTATTAAATTATCCAGTTAGTCAAAAATCAGTCTAAATTGCAATGGTTTTGTATTTCATATTATTTATATTATATTTTTAAAAATATTTTATGAATTATTTTATATTCAAGCTAGTAAAAAATTAGTTTGCCTTTTTCTCAGTAGATAATAACTACATGTTGCCAAAAAATAACCATTATCACTTTTGAAAAACTTTTCTGTTCATTTCATTTTCTTTTAATCAAATTTGAAGTTAAACAAGTATAATTATGCCAGCATTCTTTACAGTAAGCAATAGCTTAATCGATGGCTTATTGAGTCCATTTTATACACGTGGGTAGCTTTCTTCATTGTAAAGTGCACTTTCATCTCTTTGCATTTATCTTGCTAGAGAGAGCTCCCTCTGAATTAGACAATAGCCCTTCTTGACATGATATGTGTTTTTCTGTCTACCCTGATGAAAGAGCACACTATTATCACATGTACCTATGTGAGGCATTCTGCTTGCTGCTTATGAAGTTATTAGCAAATTTAAACATAGCATGAGCTTACATTCAGGTAGAATGGAAGTTTAGCCTTTAGTGTATGAAGCATCTGCTTTAACACTGAATCCCAGAATTTTACCTCTGTTGGAGGAAGTTGTTTAAAAAACATAGTATATTTATTATAATTTATAACAATTGATTCTTTCATATCTTCTAAAAGTCTGTGCTGAGAGCACTGTTCTTGAGAGTTTCTATTTGCTGTCCTAATGTTGACTGGTAGAGTGCATACCACTTAATGCTTCTGATCATGTTTAGTCCCTGATATATATTCTTTAATTTAGAAGTGAACAACCAAAGACCATAGGAGCATTAATATCTCAGGACCTGTATTATTAATTTAATCTTTTTTTGTTATTTATTTATTTATTTATGTATTTATTTATTTATTATGTATACAATAGTCTGTCTGTGTGTATGTCTGCAGGCCAGAAGAGGGCACCAGATATCATTAGAGATGGTTGTGAGCCACCATGTGGTTGCTGGGAATTGAACTCAGGACCTTTGAAAGAGCAGGCAATGCTCTTAACCACTGAGCCATCTCTCCAGCCCCATAATTTAATCTTTAAAAGAAAACTTTTTTTTCAGTTCTATATATCGTGTAAGTCTGATACACCTTCATCAGTATAAACTGCATACCACCCTAGCATGGTAGCTCACATTCGCAAAAATAGCCCTTTGAGAGTGTATGGCAGCAGGATTGCCATGAGTTTGAGACCAGCCTGTGAGATACATAATAAGTTCTAGGCCAGTCTGGGTTATGTGTGAGGTCCTGTATCAGAAATAAACAAGCAATCAAAACAAAACTATAAAAGAAGCCTGTATATGACTAGTGCATTTATTTAATAAGGTATTATTTCTGAATAGTGACATTATTCTTTTTAATAATGTAGAAAGCCTTTCAGCAGCTCTTGGGTGTGAGCTAATCATTTGTCTTAAGTGCCTATCATTGCTTGCTGATTATTTACCACTTTATTGCTAATTATAAAATATAAAAACAGGTATAAGTAACTAAATAGGTATACATGATTAAGTCATTATTAGGGTATAGATTTTGTGTTTCAAAGCTTACTCATTTTGATCTAATTAGGAGCAGCGCTTTTTGAAGCTGTGTATTTTTCATCACAAGAGGGTTGGCTTGTTAGTGAAGGACTTGTGGGAAGGTTGCTAAATGAAACATACAGATCTCTAGGGTGAAAATAATAGGCTCAACTTGAGCACACCGAAATAAATGTGGTTAGGAAAGCGCATTTGCTGATTAGAGTTTCTTCTAAGAGCAACTGCAGCGGAAAAGGAAACAGAAATGGAATGTACATTCTTGTTTTAAGTAAGCAGTGTAAAATCACATTCCAATTAACTTTCCAACAGTTTTATCCTTTGCTAGAAAATTTATCTTTCTGTATTTCCTGCACATTCTGGGCTTATAAAACACCATGTATAAAGATAATGGTGCATCTCTATTCCTTGGGGGCACCATCCTGCATAGCGTTGCTTATTACACAGCACTGTGTCGGGGAGCAGGCTAACTTGACTGGCCCTCCTGTGTAGAGTGCACGACACTCCATCTGAGTCATCATCATCATCATCTGCTCCTTTACTTTCATTTTGAAACCAAGACTCCAGAAAGCTCTTTCATGTGTTATGACACAGTACTTTTTGAAACTGTAAAATTATACACTGAAATCAGATCTTCCAGATGTGTAACAAAAATACCATATTTGTAATCACCGTTTGTGCTTGAGGATGTGTTTGGAGCTTTCATCTTATGACAGAGAAATTTAGGAGTGATGGAGGGAATGCCTTCACTGTATTGAATCACTCAGAAACACTTCAGACAGGTTCTATCTATGGACCCAGACTTGTCTTAATCTTGAAGCAATCCTCCTGCCTCAACCTGCCAAGTGCTAAGATTTTAGCTTCGTGTCACCATGCCTGAACTTAAAACCACTTTGATTCTTCAGCTATTTTTTTTTCCTTTTTACTGTGTGTGTAGTGAAAACAAATACTGCAAGGCCAGAAGAGTTGCTAAAATAGCGTTGCTAAAATGTCTTTGAATAAAATAGTCAACCATTTAGAAATCATTCTTGATTTCAGTTTCATAGATATCTGCAATCAATTATTTTGACTTGAATGTTTTTGATTCCTTTATTTTTCTTGTAATTTAGATACCATTAGAAATAATTTACTTCATATGAAATGATATTGTATTGCATGCTAATGCCATTTGGCATAAGCTTAAGTGTGGTTGAATATCAATTATTTTAGGGAAACTAGAGTATAGTTTGCACATTGAATGAGTGATGTTGCTTCTTTATGATTCTGAATGATAATTAAACATACAGATACCTAATAATATAATTACAAACTTAAATTTTCATTTGCTATATGGTTAGCATTACTTAAAAAGGCACTATGGTCATAGGATGAGATTTTTGAAAATGTGATCTTAATGACTGGAATACAAAGATGAGAAGTTGACATAATTAATAATATATAGAAAGCAAATATTCAGTGATGCAGTCTGGTATAGATGACTTGTGTTTCCTTAGTAACCACACGATGATGTCAGAACCTTCTTTACCTCACAGTATGCCTGTATTACACATACGGTGTCTGAGAAATAGCCACGCTAAAATATATTATCAGAGTGGACCCTAGTAAGAAGAGATTTGGATGAGACATCTGCAGAGGGCGGTCACATGTGTGACAGGGAGAAGAGCATGATCTTTGTAAACAATAGGAAGAGAAGGCTCCGAAGAAACCAGTCCCAGCACCACTGTGACCTAGACTTTCCTTGAATAAGAAGATTACTTGTTTTCACTGCCTACTTTCTGCTTCTTTGTTATGGCAGGCCTAGCCAACTAGTTAATACGTGTTAGCCATAGGAAAGCAGGTCAGCATGCTAAAACGTGGAATAATAAGAAGAAAATCACCTTTAGATTTAATAATAAAGTTTTTAAAGGACAAAGTGATAGAACAAAAAGAACGCATCTGTCTGTATCCTTAATACCTATGTCAAGTTGAGATAAGCCACCATTTCTGCTTCTTTCTCCTCCCAAGCTCCTCTCTTAACCCTAGTCATTGGAGGATCCCAGGGCCTTGAACCTGAATCTCTCAGATCCTACCTACACCCAACCATGCTGTTCTCTGTGTGTGTCTCCCGTTGGGACATGTCTATCTTTTTGTGCCACATTCCCCTTTCAAAAGAAAGAGGGCACACTGGGTCAGGACTCACCCTGATATTCGTTTGAACTTGACTACCTTCTTGATGACCTTACCCCCAAAAAGGTCACGTTCTGAGGTGGGGCCTTTGCTGATTTTTTTTTTTTTTGAGTTGAGGTTAGGGGCTTAATACATAACAATAATATATCAATTAAAGAGTCAAAAAGGAAGTCTTTTTGTAAAAGTCTTATTTTTGAACTATTCTCTGTGTTAGCTCCCAGCTCATATACTCTTGGGTTCTGTTTGGTTTAAATTGTTCTCTGATTCAGCAAGAGTCCATTTGCATTTAAGATTTTTCAGTCCGTCGACTGCATACTTATACACCTGTGATTACAGGTGGGATGGGAATAAAATGAACATCTCTGAACTTAGGTAGCCTCTTAGCATTTGTTAGCAGACAGTGACTGGCGTTTGAGGAAAAAGGGGGACAGTATGTCAGAAGAAGCCATGTAGCTGTAGGAGCATGAACAGTTCAGACATCATCGGGTCCTCAGCTCCCGAATCAGGAGTCCACGAATCTTCTTACCATGCAGCAAACAAGCAAGTTTATAAGACCATTAGTAGAAAGCTTCTCTATTTTGATTAAACACAAGGCTTTTTATTGGTATCTTGTGTTACTGGTTACTACTTTTTAATATGTAAGTGCTGCTTCTTATTCCTTTTAAATAAACTCCCCCCCCCTTTTTTTTCCTTTAAGATTTGCCTGCAGTGGATAACTCAGTGTTTTTGGAATTACTTAGATTGGATTGAAATATGCCATTATATTGCTACTTGTGTTGTCCTTGGCCCTGATTATCAAGTGTATGTCTGCATAGCTGTTCTCAAGCATCTGCAGCGAGACATCCTTCAGCATACCCAGACTCAAGATCTACAAGTCTTTCTCAAAGTAAGTATGCTCATGTCTGAGGGGAAAAGTTGTTAAAAGTTAATCACTGATTTGGGACACTTCATTGTTGTCTTAGGCATTCTTCCATTGCTGGGATAGGACACCTTAACCAAGGCAATTTATAAAAGAAAGCAATTTTAATTTGGGGTTCACAGTCCCAGAGGGTTAGAGGCCATGACTATCATGGCAGGTAACATGGCAGCAGGCAGACAGGCACGGTACTGGGGCACTAGCTGAGAGCTTTCATTTTTATCCATAAGCAAGAAACAGAGAGAGCTAGCTGGAAATGGACAGTGACAAACGTCCATCAACAAGGCCACACCTCCAATCCTTCCCAAACAGTTCTACCAACTGGGGACTAATCATGGAAATATAAGAGCCAATGCAGGTCATTCTCACCCAAACTAACACAATTATCAGATGCTTATCTAGCCCCTCATCACCAAATCTGCTCTGAGTGGTAGAGATGATTGTTTTCACTTTTGAAGTGAGGAAAGTGAGGGAACTAATTTGCCTAAAGCCTAAATTCTGTACCGCTAGAGTAGAGAAGGATCCAAAGCTTTAAGTTAGCCAGATTATTGCTGCATCACATTTGATCAATAAATGCTCAGTTTATTTTGTTCAAACTGTTGATAGTTATAAAAATTATTGTTCTAGAATGTTCTTCTAAATTTCCCATGTTTATAAAATGTTTACATAAAACTTTTATAATAAAAATCAATAAAATATAAAAATATAAAAAAATAAAAGGCAAAAAATGTTTGCATTATTCTTTCATAGCACTTGCAATAGTAGAATATCTGATAGCAACCTTCAACAAAATAACTTTGCTTACTTTCTAAATTACAGTGTGATATATTTGAAGTTTAGGTGATTAGCAGGCATGATATGTAAATACATTGCTATATGTAGTTCTTGTTGGACTTGTAAGAAATTCAACTCTTGGTTTAATGCTGAAATCAAAATTGAATTTGACATTTTTTGGCGAGTCATCTCCCCATTCATCTCACAGTCACAAAACACATTCATTCATCAAAATGTGAATGTATCTTTCACTAGGTGAAGGATTTGTTTTTGTAAATTAGTTTTTTTTTACTATTAGGTATTTGCCAGAATTAGTTTCCCTTGAGTGATGTTTTTAAGATAATGCCATTAATCACTTAACACTGCCAGCCAATCATTTCTGATTAAAATATTTGAATTCAAAACATCTTAAACTATAAACAGCACTGGAATTATAGTCTTAGAATCATTATTAAAGAAAACGTTTGACAGAAGAATACATACTGAAGGAACAATAAGACAGAGCTCCAAATAATGATTTGTGTGAGGTGATCCCGAGAATAGGCCATTTTAATAGTGATTATTCTGAAGACAATGTAGGTTCACACGCAGTCAGGGACATTTCATCTGTTGTGGTGATTGGGTACTGAATTTAGGGTTTAATGTTTGTCTGTATTCTTAAAGCTGAATTTTCCCAGCACGTAATTCTCTAAACTCCTTTGAGTTTAGTTTATTATATAAGTTTTATTACTATCTGAGATGTTTCTGTTCTTCCTTTTCCAACATTCCTTAGCTTTAAATTATGACTTTTAGCTTTAAATAAATGGTCTGTCTAGGTTAGTGAAGGACTTTCAACACTTTCTCAATAAATATTTGTTGAAAAAATAAGTATAAAAATCTCTTAGGTGAACAAACTAGTTTTATTTATACTGAGCCGCAGACATCATTAAATTTTTGAAATGCTTCCTGCTGTCATCTCCGATGGAAGAATGTCTCTATGTGTCTTTGTTTAATGCTGGTGACTACTGCAATGTCATCTTTCCCTGGACAGTTGCAGTAGGGTGTAAAAATGATGGCTGTTTTAAAGGTGAACCCAACCCCGTTGTGTGCTGGGCACAGTGCTTCAGTTTAACCTACAGGGTTTTACATGGTGCAAAGGTTATCGTCTAATTCCTATTTTAAATTACTAGAATTTGAATTGAGTCTGTTAAATCTCAACTAAGACTTTATTGGTAAAGAATTAACTTCAGCATGTGTCCTCGGGCTAACCTCACTTTAAAATTCTGTTATTTGCATTTTTCTGAGAGACTCAGAAAAGGTGCTTTCCTTGCTGGTACTGTGACTTCATTTTTGCTGTTAAACTTTCAGTGTCTAGTTCTCAGAAGTCTTTTCTCTTATGATGGGCATTTTATTTTTGCAGAGTAGATTTTGGTATAGTTTTCTTAAATGTATGCATATGCATATATAATATTTGACCCCCTTTAAAGATCTATAGAAGCATCTTGCTTGCAAAATATATGACTGTGTGCAAAAATTCTCACAGTTAACTATATATAGTCATATATAATAACATGTGACTCAGACTTGTTGAAGAGGAGAAAAACTTAACAATATTTTTCCATAAAACAAGAAGCTACAGCTGTGATAATATCCCTCATAATGACAGTTCCATTGTTTATTCCTTGGTTTGAATATCTACTGATACTAGTTCTAAGGGGAAGTAAGTTGAACTAAAACAGCTTCAAATTTTTATTTTGTAAGTAAACAATATTTTATTTATAAAAGATAATGAAAGGGCAAAGTAATGGCTCAGTGTGCAAACTGAAAAGCCAAGTTCAATCCCAGGAGGCACAGATGGTAGAAAGAGAGAACTGACTCCTGGCAATTGTCGTATGACTTCTGCATAGGTTGTACACACACAGAATTGTAACTTCAGGAACAAAAGGATGGTAATTCATTGTGTAAAAATAAATAGAATGAGCATTTGACTGTTGTAAATGTATGTTTCAGTATTAAGGCACAAGTGAATTAGTGTTCAGAATACTGAGAGCCTGAGATGTGTTTAATAACCCTCCAGTTATTACCAGCTATTAGAGGAACCTCTAGAAAACTAGGTGACTCTTCTCTTAAATGTTGAATATACGTGTTTCTTTTCTCAACTTAAATTTCTTGTATTGATTGAAAGTAAGACCATGTCATGACAAAGCCTTGCTTTCCAAATGAAACTCTGTGTGAAATACGTTCGATAGAGAAAATATCAGCCCATCCATATTTATTTTAGCTTAGGCTCAAGATTTTAAATCAGACTGTTGAGAGTCTAGATTCTTGCCTGAATTTCTTCTAGCAGCCCACTGGAGAATTCTTGGTGATTCTGAGTCGCTAAACTGAAAAGCCAAGCAGAGGTGGCTCAGATCAGACAGTGAACAGCACCAGTAACTGTCAGCCCTGCTTCACTGTTGGAGCATTGGGGTTGGATGGGGAGATATATGGGGTTGGATGGATACTTGATATTCCCATCCTCATTTTACCACTAAACTGTCTGAGTCAGTAAATGTCATGGATGTGAACTAATGGGATCCAAGTACTCACTACATTTTTGTTCTTGCTTTGATTTTAGCTTTTTATTTTATTTACTTATTTTTAAAACAGTGAGTTACTACACGGTCCTGGCTGACTAGGCTAGCCTTGAGCACTGGGATTAAAGGTTTACACCACTGTGCCTGGCTTGTTGTTTTGTTTTTCTCAATTGCCTTGTAGATAACAACTCAATGTGGGCTAGATAATAGAGTAGTCTTTAAGCACGCTAAATAAAAACTCAGAGACAGGTATGGTGGTGCGTGCCCTTAATCCTAGCACTTGGGAGGCAGAGGGAGGTTCAAGGCCAGCCTACTCTACAGAGTGCGGTCCAGGACAGCCAAAGATGCACAGAGAAACTCTGTCTTGAAAAACCAAACAAAAACAAAACAAAACAGAAAAACAAAACTCAGAGACAGAAATTGGGGTTCAACCTGAAGACCAGAAAAGCAAAACAGCCAGCTACTGCCTCTTAACTCTATCTCAGTCTGAAATGGTGATCCTGGCTTCAGGAATCTCAGAATGAGACTGAGACTGAGAGTTGTCTCCTCTCATTTTGTAATCCTCTCTAGTGCTAGGATTAAGGGTGTGCACCACTACTGCCTGGTTTCTATGCAAACTAGTGTGGCTACTGGGATTAAAAGTGTGTGTTATTGTTGCCTGGTCCGTAAGGATGGCCAGTGTGGCTGTTTTACTTGTCTGATCTTCAGGCAAGCTTTATTAAAATACAAATGAAATGCCACTACGATAGTCAAGTGCATTAGCCTCACACTTTAGTGAGACACCTTGTGAAGCTATGATGAAGCACTCAAGCTCAGTTCTGAGCAGTGGTCTATATTTACTATTTTATTCCTTTATTTTATTCATTCATTATCAGTTTTCTCTTTGAAGATGCTCGGGATTTCAAACATTTTATCTTTGAAAATGTTTGAGTGCCACAATTCCAGAAAGAAAAACACCCAACACAATTAATGTTCTCAAATTTCCTAGCTAACTATAAAATCTAAAACCATTTTCTCCTGTCAGAACATTTTGGTTAGTGGATTTCTATATAATAAGTGTTAAAAAAATATCTATATACATAGATTTGTTGGAATCTTTGTTTCTGGGTCCTGTGGAGAAGTCTGAGTGTTCCATGAACTGGCTTTGCACGTTCCTTCCCTTCTCACAAGCTCATAGACTGGAAAGGATTGTTAGCATCCATTTGTCCATGCACCCTGGCGACAAACTTCACTGAAATGCCAAGGCAAGGGGAAGACTACCTTCCATTGGAAACCAGGCTGTGAAAGCTCAGAATACTTAATTAAAAATTCTGCACTGAATCCTGCATATTATAGAAAATAATTTAAATTATGAGAAAAATCAGATTTATTTCAACCCAATCAGTAACTTGTTGAGAGGGATGCTTTGTTGGTGGCTGCTGTTTTCAGAAGGTGATGACAGGATAGAAAATGGAGATTAGACAGGAAAACTGATGAAATGGTATTATCAAAAAAGCTCAGCCCAGGAAATAGATAAAGCCTGCATCGTTTAACATCAGGTGTGCTTTCAGATGGTGTCTACATTGCCGTCTGTCACTTGAAGACGTGAGTTTTGTCCCTCCCTCATCATGTTAGCTTGGCTTCATTGTTTAATCTCGTCAT